TTTCCATGTTTGTGTTCTAGCTGATCACCTGGACTGAGATAGTATCTGTGGAATCAATGAATGCCATTTTCAACCAAGTTTTTAAAAAATCCCCATACTTTTAAATAATAAGAAGGAAACTATAGACAGTCCCCATCAAAAGAATAGTTTGAATTTTAAAAGCCACCACTTACTCATTCTCAAAAAGCTGCCAGTCATTCTACAATGAGCTTTGCTTGCATTCGCAATCTTCACAATAATCTGAGGGGTATTCTTACTTTCCTGTTTAACAGATAGCTGGCGAAAGCTTAGTGAGGTTAAATTACTTGTTCAAAAATCATATAGCTAGGAAAAATATATATATGTATATATATATCGTATAGCTAGAAAAAAAAATATATATATATACATGCACACACACACACACATATAGGATCGCTGTGGCTGCAGTATTGAGAAGGGAAAATACAGTGAGAAAGAGCCTATTGCAGTAATATGGGCAAAAGATGACAATGTCTTGTAGTAGGGTGGTAGCAATGGGGTTGGTGAGAAGTGGTTAGATTCTGGATATGTTTTAAAGATAGAAATAAAAGGATTTCCTAATGAATTGGATGTGCAGTGTGAAAGAAAGCCTGAGCAATTGGAATAGTGATACTACCATATACCAAAATGAAGAAAACTAAAGAAAAGTTCTGATATGTTAAGTTTTTAATGCTCATTAGAAATTCGAATGGAGGTGTTGAGCTAAAAGTTGATTACAGGATTCTGGAGTTACAGCAGAAGTTCGGGCTAGAGATAAATTTAGAGTTGACAGTGTATAGATGAAATTTAAAGCCACGGAAACTAGATGCAATCACATAGGGAGTGAGTGATAAAGAACATGATGTTAAGAATAAGGAGAAATACATATAGTGCCTGGCATGTTAGCACTTTACATATATAGATTCATTTAGCCTTCACAACCACTGTAAGAAGTAGCTACTTCTATTATCCTCAATTTATAGATGATGAAATTGAATCTTGGAGAAATTAAGTGACTTTCTTCTGATTAACCAGCTAGCAAGTGGTAGAGCTGGGATTCAAACCCAGGAACAGAACTAAAATATCGAATGTTAGAGCTCTGGGACTCTCCAACTTTCAGCATCAGGGAGATAAAGAAGAACCAGCAAACGTGACTGAGGAGGAGATTCCAGTGGGTAGGAAGAGGAGCTAGAGTGGTATTTCAGCCACCCAGGGGACACAATGGAAAAAATGCTCAGTGGTATCAAATGCTTGCTGGCAGGTCACGGAAGAGGAGGACTGAACACAAACCTTTGCATTTAACAAAGTGCTCTAACAGGTGACCTTGAAGCAGTGGTGGAGTTAAATCCTAATTAGAGTGAGTCCAGGACAGGATAGAAGAGACATTAGAGTTCATCTCTTTAGAGTTCAGCACAGATAACACCCCAGACTGAGTCACGGGTATTCGCATATAAATATGAATTAAGGCAGCTGCTGAGATATGTTACACAAACAAAATAGAAATTTGGTTAGGAACTTAGTGAGGAAAAGATGAGTAATTTTATAGCCCCTTTTAGGAGAACAAACTTGATTTCCTTTCTCTTGGCATTCAGTCTTGGTCTTTCCTTCATTAGGAAAATTTCCGAGCTCCAAATTTGCCTCCTCCCATCTTCAAAATAGATATTCTCCTGGACCACGTTCATTTTTGTTTTTTTTTTGTTGTTGTTGTTTGTTTGTTTTTATGGTGACATTGGTTAACGAAATCCAGTAAGTTTCAGGTGTACAATTCCACGGTAAGGTATATATATACATTGCATTGTGTGTTCACCACCCATAGTTGAATTTCTTTCTGTCACCACATATTTGACCCCTTTTACTCCATCTACCTTCCCCCTCTGGTAACCACTAGTCTACAGTCCATGTCCATGGGTCTCTGCTTATTTTTCCTGTTCGTTTGTTGTTTTTAGGTTTATATCCCACGTATAAGTGATATCATGGGGTTTTCACCTTCTTCTGTCTGGCTTATTTCACTTAGCATGATTATCTCAAGGTCCATCCACATTGCTGCAAATGGCAGTATTTCATCTCTTCTTATGGCTGAGTAATATTGTATATATGTACCACAGCTTCTTTATCCAATTATCTATCATAGGACACCAGTTGCTTCCATGCCCTGGCCACCGTAATATCCCCAGCCTAGCACAGGGTCACCTAAAAAGGGTACAAATGAAAGTGTGATGAATAATATTCTAAACATTAAATATGCTACTCTGAAGTTATTGTTGATTACTCGCTATCCCCATAATAAGCCCATGCTTTTCTCTGTGTACTTCCCTCAGTCATTCAAATTGATAAAAAGTTTTATGTTTATCTTTTAAAGCCATTTATAAGATCTCGGTTTTCCTTTTATTGCGGGTATTTTCCTAGTAGTTTATTCTCTCACTCTTTTTCCCTCCTCGTTAGATAGTAAAGCTTCTCATAGCATAATGCTTTACCTTTCTTTGAGTCCAAAGAGCACCTTATATTCATTACTATACTACGTTTTACCTATATGGACTTGTTTTATCTTGTCCCCTTCCTCCACCTTACTTAATTCCTCCAGGACATGGACTGCCATATGTTTCAGTTCCCTACAACATGGTCCTCAGCACATAGGAAGTACTTGGTATATTATTTTTGAATTAATGAGTGAATATTTATTAAAGTCAGTTGAATATACTGAGCTGTACTGAATGACGCTGATGCAAACTGCAGATAGTGGGATCTCTCACTTCACATGGCAACAACTACATAATGTTCTTAGCTTAGGGACATAATAATTTTAGCTAGATTTGTGAAAGGTTAAAAAGTACTACAAATCATCGAAATAACTAAATCCAATTAGAAAAATTCATTGTTCGTTGGTTTGCTTTTTTTTGGTATTTAAATTTTAAAAACATTTAATTGATGTACCTATGAACTTGTTTCATAACTTTTTTATATCTGAATCAGTGAATATTCTTCTTTCAATTTACATTATTTCTGATCATCTGGTTCACACTATTATAAGCGATTAGGCTACTAATTCAATTATGAAAACTTCGGCTTTCACTTGTATACAGAGATGATAAAACCAAAGGGATATAATAGTCTTAAGTTAAGGATTTCACAATTAATGGTGAATGGTAGAATCTTGAACACTGAGATTTCAGACCTGCTACAAATGACTGAAATGCAATATTAATATATTTCCCCAAAATCTTTAATGAAATAAAATAGCACAACATTTTATTACATAAACTTCTAATGGAGGCTATTGGCAGATGATGGGTTAAGCAGATGCCCAGAAGAGGAAGGAGAAAGGATATTTACTATGATTACTCTCCACCGAACACTTGATTTTACAGTGTGGCTTTCATGACTAACCCAAAACACTTAGTTACAAATTTATCAGGGTGACTCGAGGGTGGACTGTCTTGTGAGAAGGCTTTTCTCACAACTCTTCTGATAGGGGGTCTAAACCACAGATCACCCATTTCATTTTATTTTGGGATAGATATCATATTTTCTTAACTTCCTTTGCTGTCCATGTTAGATTCCATATGCAGAGGCTATCGGAATCTTAAAACCAGAATAAAAAAGTTTTCTCATCTGTTATGGTACAGATGAGAAACTTAGGCCTAGGAAACTTGTCACGCATCCAAATCACAAAACTAGTTAGCATAAAAGCTAAAACTCAAATACAATCACCTTACCTCCAGTTTCGATATTTTCCACTCTTACAGCTGCCCTTCATTTTTGGCACACGAGGCCAATAATTTCAGTGATTTGGGAATTCTGGGAATGGCTCTATTTACCAGTGAAAAAAACTTTTTATTTGGCATAGTTCTAACCTCTTTTAAACTGAAAATACCTTTAGAAAGTAAAGAAAAAAAAAAAAAGTCTATACTACTTTACAAAGAAGTTTACACATAATTTGAGATTAGTTACTGCTATCTCACAGATAATGATCTTTTTATTAGGGTGCGGTCCTGTGACAGAGGAGTCCAACTAGCTGGTGAAGCAGGGCTAGGTAGCTGGAAGGTTCGTTTGGGTAGGGGTGTTAGGCAAGATAGCTTGAGTCTAGACAATTGGAATGTATGGGTAATGAAAGACTCTCTGAAGAGGCCATTTCTTTGAACAACGATTAGTGGTTCTTTTTCTTTTTTTTTTGTCGTTTTTATGTCTGCAAAGTCTTCAGTGATATCCTCTGTTTTAGATTAGTGGTTCTTAACTGGAGGTAACCCCGTCCCCCACCTCCCTCCCGCCAGGGGACTTTTAGCAATGTCTAGGGACATTTTTTGATGGGGTAGTGACGCTACTGGCACCTAGAGGGTAGAAACCAGGGATGCTGCTAAACATCTTACAATGTGTAGGACAGCTCCCACAACAAAAAATGAGGGCCCAAATTTCAATAGCCCTGAGGTTGAGAAATTCTGAGTTAGAGGAAGAAAAATGCATTGAGGAGCTAGAGGAAGCTTCTTGAGTTATTATTTTACGCATTTAAGAACTTAGAAAAGGAAACAAGTCACACTCACTAACCTCTTCCCCTCCTTTTGGATAAGGCTATCAGTTTCTAGGGAATTATGGAGACTGTTTTATCTGGATTTCCATGCACTGGTTGTGGGTTGGCCCAGGTAACTAAATCCATTCGCTCGAGTTTTGTGAAACAGCTGTGGCACTTGGCATCCTTCCTTTCTGGTGGTCAGAACTCGGTGCTAGCTGGCTAGCTTTCTGGTGTCTTCTGCGGTAGCAGAGAATTCCGTGGAACAGTACACATTCAGCATGGTTCTTTTTAAAACAAATGTTAAGACTGCGCTTCACGGGGAATCAGATTATCTTCAGGAACAGATGGTCACCCAAGGAGAGAAGAGTTAGGGGCTGTAAACGTTAGCCTACTCTCGAATACCTCTCAGAAAAACCTCGCGTTCCCTGCACAACACCGGCCGCAAACCCAACCCTAATGCGACTTGCGAGCGCCGAAGAGCCCAACGCAGTACGCCTTTTATATTTCGAGGCGCGCAAGTGCGCGCGACCGGCCCCTGGGGCTGCAGAGCCGACCAATGAACAGGCGCTCCCTCTGCGCGGGCTCGGGATTGGGCGAGCCGCGCCAGCCTCCCTGCCTAGCAGCGGGCGGGGCACACCCAAGAGCGACTGGGATAGGCGCGTTCGCTGTGCCAGAGTCCCGGGGGCGCGTGCGCGGACTCGCGGCGGCCGCGGGGGCCGGTCTCGCGCGGTCTCGAGGTGGAGTCGCTGGCGGCGGCGACGGCGGCGACTGGCCGTGGGGTAGGGGCGGAGACTAAGGATTGTGAGGTGGGGAATCGGGAGTTTCGGGATTCTTTATCCGGTATCTTAAGTGCCGTTGGGGAACTGTCGTTTCTGCAGTGTTTAGGAGCGGCGGGGGTGGGAGGATCGGCGGCTGCTGTGGCGCAGAGGTAAGAGGCGGACCCGCTGTGGCTCCGTGCGGAGGTCGTAATCAACAGGTCTCCCAGAGCGCGGCGGGGGAGGGTCTGCCGGGCGCGCCCCCCTCCCCCACACGCCGCACGCTGGGCCCAGGCAGGACCTGGGGCAGCTCGGCGGGCTGCTCCAGGCAGCGGGAGGCGCAGCCAGCCGCGGAGGGCGTGAGCCCAACCTTTGTCTCTTGGAGGAACGCTGCCTGGCTGTGCCCGTTCCCTCTCTTGAAGAGGAACCCACCTTGGCGGGTCCGCCTGGCCCGAGTTGTAGGGGGCGCGGCGGGGAGTCGCCTGTCCTCTGCATCCTGGTCCCCACGTTCGGGGCTCCCAGGACTCCCCCCAGGCCAGGTCGGGGAAATCGGCTGGGCGAACACTTTCCTTGAGAAGACGGAATGTAGTCAGCGTTCCTCTGCCTGACTCAGCTCCTGGTATTCAGCTGCTCTTTGCACTCTTTAAACAAATAAACAAACAGTTCTTACTTCCTTGTGACTACTTTAAAGAAAAGCCTAATCTCGTAAATAGTTTCTAATAATTTACTCTAAGTTTGCAAGGTGAACTTTGAAGCCAGTAAATTGTTGTAAGCTGCATTTAATGAAAGGCGCTTTAAACAGTCTTTGGTGCAAATTATGTAACTTCCTAATAATAACTCACCTTATGTTTAGTTGATTGACATACAGTAATGTGTACGGAATTTAGGTTTCGGTCGAAAGGTTTTTGTTGGCAGTTGGCGCTAAACTTAAAATCTGATAGCTAGGATTTTTTAGAAGTAGTGTATAGTGTGTTTTGCCTTCTTAGTCGTTTAGAGTTGTAAGAATTTAGATTTGGAAAGCCTTTAAAACAATTTTGAAATATTGTACTTACTGACAAGGTAAAAGGCGTTGATATTTCTGATTTTTAAAGAAAGTAATATCTTGTTTTTACGATCGTATCCTAATTATGCTTTTGGATTATACTAGAAGTTAATAACCTTTTAAATTCTGGAACAAATGGAATAAATGACATGTTGGTTATTAGTGTCTTTGAAGTGTAAGTATTGGTGGTAATGAAATTGTTAAATAAGCTTTTTTGGATTATGAACTTTTTTTTTTACTAGATCCCCGTGGACATGGCACATTACAAGTTTTTAAAGGCTCTTTAAATTTTTGTAGCAGGCTGAAGCTATTATAATGTAAGATCTTTATAGATGAAACAGGCAAAATACGAAAAGCAATTCATCACTTTGTTTTTAAAAAAGCAGGTGCATCTTACCATGTACCTGAATGACTTTTGGCTAGGCAGACTTGACAAGTAAAGATGGACTCAGTAATATTAACTTGTTTTAGAAAGTTAAAATGAGAGATCAGAATGTATGTTTTACCTGAGGGCGACCCAGGTCAACACAGTGGATTTAGTTCATTATGTTCTTTTTGAATTTTAATCTTGATTAAAAAGCTCATCAAAGACATACCAGGAAATTTGGTCCATTTTATGTATCAGTATACTAAGATGTCCTATTGCTCTGGTAGTTTCTGATTTCAAGGTGTCTGGGAAAAAGTTTCTTGACATAGGTGCTTTAGAATATAATTTTTAATTATAAACTTATTGAATCATAGAATTATTGAGCTGGAAATAATTTTAGTGGTTGTATAGCCTAACCTCTTCATTTTCCAGGAAAAGGAAAGTGAGATTTATAGAGTTAAGTAGTCCATAGTCTGACTGCTAGTTGATGGCATAGTAGGAACTAAACACCAGTATGCTTGTCTCCATATTCCAACTATGGTGCTCTTTTCACTATATACTCTTGTTAAATAAGCAAACCAGTAAGTTACCCTTCTCAAAATTGTATATGTAGCCAGCAAGGTTGATTCTTTCCCTTACACATTTCTTTCTTATTTTTTAATAACTACTGGCCACAATTAATAATTCCTCTACTGAAGGATTTTCAGTTTTTCAATATTTCAAATGTTTAATGAATATCTTATGTATATCTCCTCAAACACATGTGTGAAGGTTTCCCTAGAGTGTGTATGCACCTGTAAGTGGAATTGCTGGGCTGTAGGTTGATGTGCATTTTCAATTTTACTAGCTGCAGCCAATTATCCTCTAAAGTTGTAACAACTTACATTCCTGCCAACAGTATCTGAATCATGCTTGCCCACACTTGAAATTGTCAGATTGGCAGTGACATATTTTTAAATTCTTGCTGCTCTTTAGAGTGAGAAATGATATATTTGTGTTCTTTATTTCAAAAAGACTTTATTTTTCATTTACAAGAAATTAAATGAACTCTTTTCATTGTAGAATTGTTTTGACAAATGCATAAAGCAGTGCAACTACCAAAATCAAGATGCAAAACAATTCCAGCATCCAGAATTGAGCCTCTCTTTGTAGTCAACCTTTCTCCGCCCTTAACCTCTAGCAGCTAATAATCTGTTGTCTTTCTCTGTAGTTTTTTTGTAGAATATCATATAAAAGAAATCGTACAGTATTTAAGCCTTTTGAGTCTGATTTCTTTCATTTAACATAATACATTTGTGTTCATGTTGAATGTATCAGCAGTTCCTTCTGTTTTATTGCTGAATATAGTATTCTGTTGTACAGATGTACCACAGGTGGTTTATCCATCCACCAATCGAAAGACATTTGAGTTATTTTCAGTTGTTGTTGTTGTTGTTGTTACTATGAATAAAACTGCTGTATATCTTTGCAAACAGGTTTTTGTGTGAAAATAAGTCTTCATTTCTCTTGGGTGAGCACCTTGAAGTGGAATTGCTGGGTCATGAAGTAATTGTATGTTTATCCTTAAATTTGACTGTGGTAGGCCGAGTAATTCCTGGAACCTGCGAATAAATTTGTTTTCATGGCAAGGTGAATTAAAGTTACAGATGGAATTAAGGATGCTGATTAACTGACTTTAAAATATGGCGAGTATCCTGGATTATTCAGGTAGGTCCAGTGTATCATTGAGGTCCTTAAAAAGGGAAGAAAAGCTGTAGATTCAGAAAAAAAAAGATGTAACAATGGAAGCAAGGCCAGAGTTCTTGGTTTTGAGGATGGAGAAGGAGGGCGGGGCATCAACTAAGGAATGTGGTGGCCTGTTGAAAAAAGCCAGGAAATGGATTAACCTTTAGAGCCCCCAGAAAAGAATGCAGCTCTGCCAACACCTTGATATCAGCTCAGGGAGTCAGAGTCAGACTTTTAACCTACAGAAATGTAAAATAATAAATTTGTGTTATTTTAAGCCACTGAGTTTTTTATTAATTTGTTAGTAATTTTTTTTATTAATTTTTTTATTAGTTTTTTATTAATTCCTATAGCAGCATAGGAAACTGTATGATATGAAACTTTTCCAAAGAGGCTGAACGACTTTTTCCATTAGCAATGTATGAGTGTTCCAGTTATGTTACGTCCTCATCAGCACTTGGTATGGTAAATCTTTTTTAGTTTGGTCATTCTAATAGGTATGTAGCAGTATTTCATTGTGGTTTTTATTTGCATTTTTCTTATGACTGATGATGCTGAGCATCTTTTCATGTGCTTATTTGCCATTTATATATCTTCGTTGAAGTGTTCAACTCTTTTGCCCAGTTTAAAATTGAATTGTCTTATTGTCAAGTTTTAAGAATTCTGTAAGTCTTTGTCAGATTTGTGATTTGCAAAGATTTTCTCCCAGTTGTGGCTGCCTTTTCCATTCTCAACAGTATCTTTTGAAGTGCAGACCTTTAAATTTTGATGAAGTCCAAAGTATCAGTATTTTCTTTTATGGTTCTTATTTTCAGTATTGTGTTTAGGACCTCTGCCTTACTCAAGGTTGCAAAGATTTTCTCCTTCATTTTCTTCTACAGATTTTGTAATTTTATGTTTTACATTTAGATTTATGTTCCATGTTGAGCAAAATTTTGTATGGAGAGGTTTGAGTTGAGTTTAGTTGTCCCATTGTTACAATACCGTTTGTTAAAAAGACTATCCTTTCTCCATTTAATTGCCTTTGTCTCGGTCAAAAACCATTTGACTACATTTGTGTAGGTCTTTTTCGACTCTGTATTCCATTGATCTATTTATCAGTAATCTTGTAATTGGGCTGTTTAATTTTATCATTTTTACAAATTTGGGCTTATATGATTAACTTATTATAAAAATTCAAGCAGTTTGGCCTTTTGACTCATAATATTAAAGTTCTTTTGTAAGTTAATAGTTATCTCAAAGACCCTAAACATTAACGTTTTAAGGCTTCTGATGTTCTTGGCATTTTTGATCCTTTAAGTCAGAGGTTGGCAACTTTCTATAAAGGGCCAGATAGTATATATTTTAAGCTTTGCAGACCATATCATTTCCGTTGCAAGTATTCAACTCTGCTGTTATAGTGCAAAGTGCAAATGAATGTGACTGTTCTAATAAAACTCTTTATAAAAACAGGGTATTCTTGATTTGGCCTGTGGGCTTAGTTTGCCTACTTTTGTTTTGGGCAAAAAGTCAGCAGGAGAAATGAAAATTGTAGTAATGTGGTGGAATGAGCCTCAGGGGGTCAGCTGAGTTGTGAAGTTACTTCATGTTGTAATTCCCAGCCAAGCTTTCACTTTCCTCATCGATAACATGTAGCCACCTGGGAAGATGTTCGAGAAGGTTAAAATAAGGTGCGGAAGGCACAGAGCAAAATATTTTGACATATAGTAGATATTTAATAAGTATTTAATCCTCCCCCAGCCTTGTTTTATGGCTGCACAATGCTTTGTGACAAATCAACAAATGTGAAATAACTATGGAGATTCATTCAGGTTTTTGCCAATTTTTAGTATATCTAATTAGTTATTCTAAATATTAGAAATTATACCGTTTGTATTTATAGCTAAACTCTTTTGAATTGTGCTTTTTTTGATGAAAGTTGTAACTCCTTGGCTTCACAATAGTATCAGAAACTTTACATCAAAAAACTGAGAATTCATTTTAAAAAATAATTTCACATTTTGAGGGTTTTACATTGTCACAGAAAATGATCGATGATG